AGACTGGTGTGCTGCAGTCCATGGGGTTGCAAAGAGTCGGACATGACTGGGCGACTGAACTGAACTGAAGGGAAAAGAATCTAAACAAGAATACATATATATATATATATATATATATATATATATATATCTCCATATAGTCAAAGCTATAATTTTCCAGTAGTCATGTACAGATGTGAGAGTTGGACTGTAAAGAAGGCTGAGCATCAAAGAATTGATGTTTACAAACTGTGGTGCTAGAGAGTCCCTTGGATAGCAAGGTGATCAAACCAGTCCATCCTAAAAGAAATCAACCCTGAATATTCACTGGAAGGACTGATACTGAACCTGAAGCTCCAATACTTTGGCCACCTGATGCAAACACCCAACACACTGGAAAAGACCCTGATGCTGGGAAAAATGGAAGGCAGAGGGAGAAGGGGACAACAAATGATGAGATGGTTGGATACCAACTATCCAACCATCGACTCAATGGACATGAGTTTGAACAAACTCCTGGAGAGAGTGAAGGATAGGTAAGCCTGGTATGCTGTAGTCCATGGGGTTGCAAAGAGTTGAACATAACTGAGCAACTGAACAACAAATATTTATCTACGCAATTGTTCCAGCTTCTGGAAAGTTAAAGTGATACCCACTCCAGGCTCACTAGGAACGTTTGCTCATTGACAAGTGATGCCTGCCATTGGCATTGAGTGGGTGGGAAAATGGAAATGGGAGTGGGGAGTGCCAGCACAGTGCTCCAAACCTTCCATTCTTCAGTCAACAGCCTTGTGGTGTTCAGGAAACAAAATCTTCATAAACTTGCAGCTCCCCCCTCCCCACCCACACTAATAACTAGTAACCTTGCTTCCTATTTCACTGAAAAATGAGGAGCACCTACTAGACAGCTTCCTCAAGCTCTGACCACAGACACCCGCCACCCCCCCATCTGCCTGCTTACCTACACCTGGGTCCATATTCTAATCTTTTTTTTTTTTTTTTGCATTGTTATTGCTTAGGTGTTTGTTCTCCTAAAAAAAATAGCTATATCTTTTCTACTCAATCAATTTCCTCCCCTCCTGATGCCAAAAATTTGGCCTCTGTGCACTGCTACTTAATCAAATCTCTGAGACAGTTTTGGGTAAAGTAGAAAAGAATTCATCAAGTGTTGCGGAGAGTGGGGGAGAAGGCAGGTCCGATGTTGATGATTTGATCAGAGTGTGCTCAGGGCCTGTGCTTCTTTGGTTTTGTCTAATGTAATCTCTTGAGTTTCTCTGGTTCCTTTCATCTGGCCTCAGGTGGTCTTCTCTAGAATGAATAGTGCTGACACTTAGATTTTAGTTCTATAGAGTTTACTGATTTTGTTATGTGTATCCCTTGAGGTTAATCCCTTACAATTATACAATGGAAGTATAGATTCAAGGTATTAGATACAATAGACAGAGTGCCTAAAGAACTGTGGGCAGAGGTTCCTGACATTGTACAGGAGGCAGTGATCAAGACCATCCTCAAGAAAAAGAAATGCAAAAAAGCAAAATGACTGTCTGAGGAGGCCTTACAAATAGCTATGAAAAGAAGAGAAGTGAAAAGCAAAGCAGAAAAGGAAAGATATCACCATTNCTGAAGTTGAAGCTCCGATACTCTGGCCACCTGATGCGAAGAGCCAACTCATTGGAAAAGACTCTGATGCTGGGAAAGATTGAGGGCAGGAGGAGAAGGTGATGACAGAGGATGAGATGGTTGGATGGCATCACAGACTCAATGAACGTGAGTTTGAGTAGGCTCCAGGAGTTGTTGATGGACAGGGAAGCCTGGAATGCTACAGTCCATGGAATCACAAAGAGTTGGACAGGACTGAGCAACTGAACTGAACTAAACTAAGGCTACCGGGACCCTGCCCCAAGGCTGCACTGTTGTTTCTTGGCTACTCCGCCCTTATCTCTGCATCCCCTCCCTTCACTGATTTGTTGTTCTTTCCCTAAGTCATGTCAGACTCTTGTGACCCCATGGATTACACTGTCTCCCAGAGTTCACTCAAATTCATGTCCATTGAGTTGGTGACACTATCCAGCCATCTCATCCTCTTCCACCCCCTTCTTCTTTGCCTTCAATCTTGCCCAGCATCAGGGTCTTTTTCAATGAGTCAGCTGTTCGCATCAGGTGGCCAAAGTATCAGAGCTTCAGCTTCAGCATCAGTCCTTTCAAGGAATATTCAGGGTTGATTTCCTTTAGGATTGACTTCCCTGATTAGCAACTGTTTGAACCTGCCCTGTGGAACTCAGACAAGGTCATAGAGGCTGAACAAAAAGGGTCCAGTGCCCAGGATCCTCACGAAGTCCTGCTCAATTTCACTCCTGAGTTTCTAAAACAGTTGTCCAGCAATCTTCCTCACTCACCTGAGTTAGCAGTCTTCCCCTTTCCACTGGATATTCCTGGTCACCAAACATACTATCACTTTCAGCCTTAAAAATATTGCTTCACTCCACTTTTTTTTATAGTTTCTGTGTGTATGTGGGTGCTAGTTGCTCATGTACAACTTTTAGCGGCCCCCATGGATTGTAGCCTACCAGGCTCCTTTGTCCACTGTATTTTCCAGGCAAGATTATTGGAGTGGGTTGCCATTTCCTCCTCCAGGTGATCTTCCCAACCCAGGGATCAAACCTGGGTGTCCCACATTGCAGGCAGATTCTTTACCATCTGAACCACCAGGGTGGTCCCTGGTACAGTTACTACCCTTATCCATCTTTTCCTTTAATACTAAGACTCATCAAAATAGTCCTTTTAACATTTTGTTCTCAATTTATTTTCTTCCATTATCTTGTAAACACATTTTCTCCTTCTAGTGTCATTTTCCCCCTCATTGTAGACAGTAAAATTCACTTTTCTTGTTGAGTTCTATTGGTTTTGACATGTGTGGTTATCATAACTACCATTTTAATTAAGATACAGAAGTCCATAACCTTCCAGGGTTCCCTTATGTTTCCCCTTTACAGTCAGCCTCTCTCCTACACCCTGATTTGTTATTGTCCCCCTATAGTTTTACCTTTACCAGAGTATTGTGTAAATGAAATAATAATCTTTGTAGTGTAACATATTGGCTATTTATCCATCTTGAGTTTATTTACAGTTCATCCTTTTTTTTTTTTTTTTTTTTTGCTGAGTAGTAATCCTTTGTTATGTATGTATTACATGCATTTGGGTAGTCTTTAGTTTTAGGTCATATCAAATAAAACTGTCAAAAATATTCATATATGTTTTTGTGTAAACATAAATTTTCACTTTCCTTGGATAAGTAACAAGGAGTGAGATTCTTCACTATTTGTTAAATGTATGTTAAACTTTACAAGAATTGCAAATTGCAATTGTTCTACATCTTCTGGTGAAGCTCTTGTCATTTTCCATGATTTTATTTTATTTTTAGCCATTCTACTAGGAATAAAGTTCTGTCATATTGTGGTCTTAATTTTTTCCTTGTATAAAATTATAATTAATAATGTTGATGTGCTTTCTTGGGCTGATTTGCCAGTTGAGTGTCTTGTGAAAAACCTGTTGAAATGTTTTGCCTACTTTTCATTCTTACTGTTGAGTATTAAGTTCTTTATGTACTCTGGATACAAATATTTTGTAAGGTACTTTATATCCTGATATTTTCCTCCTGTCTGTGCCTTGTCTTTTCATTCTCTGACATTATCTTTGCATATCAAAAGTTTTTAATTTTGATAAAATCTACTTTATCAATTTTTCTAATTGGAGATAGTGCTACTGGCTAAGAAGCTAAGGTCACAATTAAATTTTTCTACTAAGTGTTTTCTTCTAAGTGTTTTATTTTACTTTGTATGTTTAGTCCTCTGTTTCATTTTGAGAGTTTTTTTTTTTAATAAGTGAAGTATGAGTCAAGGATCATTTTTTTGTATATGCATGTTCTGTAGTTTTCATACTATTTATAAATATGCTCATCCCTTATACACTGAATTGCAGTTGTATCATTATAAAAATTCAATTGGTCATATTTGTTTGAGTCTATTTATGGACTCCGTGATTTCCAAATTTCTATACTCTAATCATCACCATGTTATATTGGTTACTGAAGCCTTATAGTAAATCTTAAAATTAGATAGTATACATCTTTCACTTTTTTTGTTATTTTTCAGAATTGTTTAGACTATATTAGTTCTCACCGGGATTTTAATTGGGATTGCATTAATTCTATAGCTCAGTCTACAGAAAATTTCAAATCTATTCTTCTTTGAAACCAACTCCAGTCAGATTTTACCCCATCACTTCATCAAAAATGATCTTGTCCAAATCACCAGTGACTATCACTTTGCTAAATCTAGTGATCAGTCATCAGTCTTCATCCTACAATGTTCAGTATCACTTAATATATCTTATCAATCAAGACTTTGATAAGATAAGCCTTTGACTTATTATCAAGACTTTCTCCAGGAAAGTCTTTCTTCTCTAGATTCCAGGACACCCCTCTTAAACTTATTTTTCCTCTTATCTCACTGGATGGTTTTTTTTTCTTCTTTATTGGTTTGTTCTTTTTCATTTACTTAATGCCATATGGCTAGAATTACCCAGGGTTTACTTTTTGGAACCCTTCTCTTCTCTGTACTCATCTAGTCTCATTTCTTTAAATTATTCTCTAATAATTCTCAAATTTTACCACCAGCCCAGGCATCTACACTACTCCAGGTTCATCTACTCAGATGTCTATTTGAAATCTACTTGTATGTGTAACAGGCTTTTCAGTATTAACCTGTCAGAAACTGATCTTTTGACCATCCAAACACAGATTTGCTCATCTAAGTTAAAGCCACTTCCATTGTACCAGTTATTTAGGTTGAAATTTTGGTGTTGTGCTGCCTCCCACAGGCCAGCTTGCCCAGCTTTCCCGGCTTTAAGACCAAAGAAAGAGCCTGGAGTCAGCAACAAACATCAGTGGTTTAATTGATAGGGGGATCTTGTCTGAAGCAAGGTCTTGGAGTGACATCTACTGCATATCCTAGATAGTGGACAGAATATGGTGGTCATCTTCATCCTGGGAAGAAAGTGGCGTTATCAGATATAAGGGGAATTGATGTCCTATTGATTCATCAGTTACCAGAGAAACCAGCAGAGGAGCATGTCCTTCACCACCCCTTTGATAAGTTATTATGGTGGCTAAAGTTAGATGAATCATTAGATGGTGCCTGGGCAAAGTATACAGGAGATCAGTCAGGTAGTAGGGTGTAGCTGAAATAGACACTAGTGGAGCAGTGGATGTACAGAAAGCAATACAGCCAACTTGGGGGACCTGATCATACACTTCCGGTTCTGACACATCTCTTTCTCTCACACGAGTCATCCAATTTGTCAGAAAATCCTGTTACCTATTCCTTCAAAAATTAACCAGAATAGAATTTCTTCTAACAACTCCTCCTAGCTTTGCACAATCATAATTTAAGCACTATCCTCTCATGACTGAATTACTGCACTATTCTCATCACTGGCCTTTCTGAATTTTTCCATAGCCAGCCTTAAGGCGGCATAAGGGAGCCTTTTTAAGAAGTGTGTTAGGTCACTTTGCTCTTCGGCTCAAACAGTCCCCTTGCTTCCTACCTTGCTTAAAGCTAAGTTCTAGAGTAGTCTATGATTTTTTCACTGGTCCCACCCTCTTCTCTGAATTCATCTACTATTGAAGTCCTTTTTATTAAATTCTGTTCTATTGAAACCTTTCCATCCCTCTTTGTCTATTTTTCTTTCAGCATGCAATACCATTTAATATATCTCATTGGTTTCTTTTATTTTCTACTAACATTTAGTTTCATGAAGAAAGGGATTTCTGTTTCTTCTGTTCCCTGCAGTATTGCCATTGTTTGATGTATAAGTGAAAGTGAAGTCGCTCAGTCGTGTCCAACTCTTTGCGACCCTGTGGACTGTAGCCTACCAGAATCCTCCGTCCATGGGATTCTCCAGGCAAGGGTACTGGAGTGGGTTGCCATTTCCTTCTCCAGTCTGATGTATAGTAGGTGATAAATATTTGTTGAGTGGTTGGATGGAATAAATGAATGATATTGTGATGGGTAACTTTACTATGTTTGTTTTCTCTGAGTTGTTATATTAAGAAGTTAAGGTGAATGTTTATACCTTTAAAACATTTCTAAGACCACATTTTTCCTGAATACAGAAAAGTCAACTAAAAGTGTTCATAAGATATTGCTTGACTATTTTTATATGGTTAATACAGTATTCTGCTTTTAAATTTAAGAAAATAATTTGTATACCAGGTTCTGGAGCTGCAAAGCCCCCCTAAGGCCAGCATGGTGGTGAAGGACTGCGTCAGGGCTTGCCTGGATTCTACGTACAAATATATTTTTGACAACTGCCATGAACTATATTCCCAGCTAATAGACCCGGTAAGAAAAAAACGTGTGTCTATTTTCTGTTCTAATGTCTGCTTCCATAAGTAAGTGGGAAAGTATGTTCATTCAACTTACATTACCTGCAGGTTGTTAGAATTTCTATATCTTTTCTTCACATTTGAATGTCACTTTAATGTACATGGAATAATCCACTCCTTGCAATAACTTGTTATATTAATGGTGGATATTATTCAAGGTTTCAAGTGAGGAGTCAGTTTCAAATAAGTGGTTTTCTCAAAGTCACACAGTGGGAAAGTGAAACATTTGGTACTAGAATTTAGGATTTCAACTTCTGCTCCTGTGTCCTTCCCCTAACTCATCCTGCCTACCTTATCATTTCTATCTCACAAAAATGGTAGGTGGGGACATATTTGTAGAACACGAGGGTGACATACTCACATATGTAAATTTATTATTAAGAAATATTTCTAAATACAAATGAAAATACGGAAAGTAAACTTGCATATACTTAGCACTTAGATGACCAGTTGTTAGCATTTAGTAATATTTGTTCTGCTCTTTATTGTTTAAAGTTTTAAATTGGCATCTCACTTTGTAGTTCTTTCAAATTTCATTCTCCTCCCTTCTTCTTCTTACAGAGGTGAGCACTATTTTAATGTTAATGAGTTGGAACATCTTTTCATATATGCTCAGTGAACAATTCAGTTTTATTTTCTGTGTGTTGTTTATTAATTCCTTGCTGATTTTTCTCTTGGCTTGCTTGCCTTTTACTCATCGATTTGCATAAAATTCTAAAATGTGTTTTGGATACTAATCTTTGTTGGTTATATGATTCATTTATTGTATAAATACAAGATATATTATGTGATATATCTTTTTGTTGCATCAAAGTTTTTTAATACACACTATGTTTTATATATATTGCTATTACTTCTGTAAAACTGTTGTTTGGGGATGACTTTTTAATATGATTCTATTGCCTATTCACTTCCCTGAAGAAAGTCATTGTTCCAATAGATTGAAAACCATTACCCGTGGAACTTCTTGGTTGCTTAAAGAAGGGCAGAGTCTAAAAAGTGTATGTTGGATGAAGGCCAGGAGGATTCTTTCAAACAAGGTTTCATGCTAGGATTCTTATAGTGTTACTCTTTCTGGGTCAGTAACTCCTTAGGCTAATAGGAGAACAAAGTAAAGCTGGAATCTGTCATTGTATAAGCAAAACAACATTTAACTGCATAATTGTACTTAACTTTATAATTTCTGCAAAATGTGTGCTATTAGTAGTTTGGAAATTTGGTTCCCTGGGATTTGGAGGGATTAAACTGTCCCTGACTTCAAATCTCCCCTTGGGTGGCTTTCTTATGGCCTCCCTTTTTCTACTCTCTGTTCTTTATCTTCCTCCCACAAAGCTCTTTCAATTCTTCCTCTGCATTTTCAATATCACTGTCTTTATTTTACCCAAAATATAAATATTAAGCTTTTTATTATGCCATGTAAGTTATTCATACATAACTTCTCAAGCAATCTTACCAGACTTTATTATTTTTAATTTCTTACTTTCTACAATTTCAAACACAAACTGGTCCCTTTTCCTGAGCCTTAAATTCTATTATTTTCTGTAAATTGGTCATCTTCTTTTACATCCATGTATTTATCCTGTTCCATCTGCCAAGAATGTTCATCCCCTATCCTCTGTCTTCATCAAAATCCAACTTAAATATGACCTCCTTTCCTACTAGTTCACACTCAATGGATGAATCAAATCATCAAAATAAAGTGACATGTCTTAATATCTTTCAAATATATTAATAATAATAATAAATAAGTTTTATTTATATGGTGTCTCATATGGCAAAGAATCTGCCTGCAATGCAAGAGACCTGGGTTCAATCCCTGGGTGGTGACGATCCCCTAGAGAAGGGAATCACTGTCTTCTCCATTATTCTTACCTGAAGAATTCCATGGACAGGGGAGTCTGGTGGGCTACAGTCCACTGGGTCACAAAGGGTCAGATATAACTGAGTGCCTAACACACTTTAGAGAAATATGTGCAATTCCCATAAAGCAAACATACCCCTAACAAAAAACAAATAAACTATCACATAAAAATTAATATAGCTTAGTACCTTCTGACTTGGCTTTAAAAAGATGTTTACATGATTTTCTAACCTTGTTTTCTTGTTAGATGTATAATTCGTTTGAAAATCAAGACCAAAAGAGGTGCTCTATCACAGGAGACTCTCAGTGCTTGCCTAAAACCTCTTGCCATTGTATGGGGTCATGTTGCAGAGGCCTGGATGACAGGATATGGAAGGAATTGATGGAAGTCCCGTCTAATGCCTTCTTCCCCATTATCTTTACCTACGTGGATTGCTTCACCTCCCAAACCCTTTTCTGGCTAACCTGAGCTCACTGACCTTTTCTTCAGAAAGCCTCTAGGACCTCTCCTGGCTAAATTAGAAGCTGATGCTCTCTGGTCTCATAATATACCCTGACATGTCACCACCAGCATGTTTACAATGATGCATGTATTAGACATATAATGTAACATTTGTCTGACCTGTGTTCCCCACTAGGCCACAAGTTTCATCTTTGTGGCTCCAGTGTTTAAACACTGTGCCTGACACAGAGTACAGTTGATAAAGTAATAAGAAATACATTTTACAAAAAACAAGAAAAAACACTCTGTTAGTTATTTATGTTCTACTTCAGTGACTCCACTGTAAGTCTGAGACCAAGAACATAATCTCTGATATTAGAGCCCCTGAGTTCAAATCCTGGCTATAAAGCTGATTAACATGGTCGCCTTAGATAGGCTAGCCTCTACAAGTCTGTTTCTTCATCAAGATATATGTTTAGTATTTATGCCACTTCTGTGTTTATCTGAGTTCTCTGTAGATAATGTCATGCCTGAAACCAAAAAAACAAGAATTTCAGGGTTGTTAGGCACAGTATAATTCTGCTTATTTAAATGTAGAAGCTTACTTTCTTTCTCCAAAGGGGTTTTTAAGAACCATATACAAATAGTACTTAGAATAAAAATGAAAAACAAACAAGGGAAAAGTTGAAATTGTTGCAGTTAGACAAGATAGCTAGAAACGGCTGGCTGCATTTTCTCATGGAACAACATTTACTTTGACTTAATCACCAGGCCCACATTTGTCCTCATTTCAGCATAACTAAGGACTCAAGTGTGGCAATGTGGACATAGAAGATTGATCTCTTGCATAAAGATACATGAGGGATCAACTAATAAACTAGCCCAATATTCTAATTATTTTTTAATTAATAATGAGTTTTAGAATCTTCTCACAAGCTTATTAGCTTTTGAGTAACCATTTTGATAAATTACCTCTTTGAAGCTTATATTTAGTTTAAAAAATAGAATCTCTTTTTTTCCTGGATCTCTTTTTTTTCTGAGCTTACTTAGTTCTTTGTCAGCTTTTGATATTGCAAAGTTTTTCACAATCCATCAACTTTATCTTTGTCGCAGTGTACGTTTATTAAAAAAAAAAATTCTCAATATAATCAAATTGACCAATTTTTCTATTTAAAATATGATCTTTGAAGTATTAAAAAGTCTTTCCCACTCAGTCCCAAATACAAGATCTCCTTATGTGAAATTTAACAAAATGGATATGTTCTAGCTTAGTAGTAATTTTTGTTAATATCATCCAGCTAGTTCCTTGCTGCTGCTCCTAAAGCAACCTTCAGATCATTGCTTTTCTTTTCATATAGATAACTTCCAGAAGAGGATAAGCCAAAACATCATCAAGTCTGTTTAAGGCATCTGTTTTTGGTTTTTGTTTTTGCTTTTGCTTTTTTCCTTGAAGAAACTGTCATTTGTTTCCTGAGGTGTCCTCAGAACCTACACATCAGGCACTAGTGCAGAGTCCCTTTGTTTCCCTCCAAGATCAAATTTCCCTGCCTCGTACCTGTGCGATAATCTCTGTTATGAATTTGTTACTAGCTTTCTGGTTGATCTTTATGAACATTTATAATACATATCTATTAACCATTTGTGGTACCTGTCTCTCTCACATACTCCAGTGTACAAACAATGGTGTGGTTACATGTACTAACTCCAACAACCTTTAGGTATTTGAGAGGAAATCTGTAATTTTTAAGGCTTGGTGTTACTTTTTTGAGAACTATGCATACTGATACTTTTAGGTACATTTATTGATTTTTTAATGGCTACCTATCACATAAATATACCACAATTTAAATATCAGCTTCAGTGTTTCACTTTTACAAAAATAGTGAAGTGAATATCACTGTGCTTTTAAAGAACAGAGAAATGACCTCCTTTCCTCTACTTTTCCGTTTCTACTATAAATAATGCAGACTTGACTGTACCATGTGGTCACAGCACCCTCTTATTTTTTCACATCTTAAAATGTCCTACAACTTATCTGATTTCCATAGCAAACACTGAGTTTAATGAGAATAGAAACTGTTATAATATTATTGAACTTATAGTACATAATGCTGTGCCTTGCATACAGTAGCAGAAATAGCAAAAAACTACTTACTTAATAGAAAGTCTATGCAAAAATATTTGTGAATGTGCAGCATAAGTATACTGCTATTCATTTCAAAATTTTGACCAAGATGTCTTCTGAAAAGTGAAGTTGCTCAGTCATGTCCGACTCTTTGTGACCCCATGGACTGTAGCCTGCGAGGCTCCTCTGTCCATGGGATTTTCCAGCAAGAATACTGGAGTAGGTTGCTATTTCCTTCTCCAGGGGAGAAATCTTCTGAAAACTCCATAGAAGAAAGAAAATATCCTCCCATGATACCTTAATTGGAATATTATATGAATAATATTATAAACTTATGTGAATATATACATATCAAGTTTAAGAAAGTCTTCCTTGATTTGTAGATATGTACTTCTTCAGTTCTTTTAGTCAAAACATTTGCCATAGATGTTTTTGTTTTCCTGTTGTTTTTGCTCTAGATAATTAACTCTAAATAATTAATAAAAGGAAAGTTTAAAATGTAACTTTGAAATTTACAGGTAGAAAAAT